AAACAACTGTGCTGCTGCTACTATATCAAGTGGTTTTGCTAGCCAGTCACCCTTTTTGGCAGAACTTTTATACATATACAAAGTTGTATTATTTATTATATAATATAAATGTCAAGATATTTGCTTTCCTGTTCCTCTCAACGGAAGTGTTGTGCTGCAGCTCTACCCGGGTATATAAGGGTCATTTACTGGTTGGGAATCCCAGAAATTGGGACTTTAAAAAAAAAAAAAAAAAGTCTGGACTCTGCAATCAGGTGTTTGGTGCAAAGAGACAGTCGTCTGCGTGGACATGCTGAATGAGACGGTGTGTGTGTGTTTTACACGTTCTGGACAGAAGTTGTCAGACCTGAAGAATGGCGTAAGAGGTGAAGTCGTCACACCTGCTCGCGGTGTAAAAAATGCTCGGAAACAGGGTGAGGTTTGGTACAGGAGCCGAGGGCGACACTGTTACCGCCTTTCTAGAGGCGGCAGGCATTTCCTCTGGAAATGTGAACTGTTTAAAAATGCTGGAGACAGTTTTCAAACAAGTAACATGAGCAGCTAAGTCGCCATGTTATCTTGTGCAATATCATAACCGACAACAACATAGCCAGGTATAACGTGCTTACTAGCCAGCATCAATTGAATGAAAGAAAAACTATATAAAATGACTTACTCAGCCATTATCCACATAACCAGCTTTGAGACTTTTGTTATTAATATACTCTGTTGAACACATGTGGCCAAGAACTGAGAAACTGTGATTGGCTGGGATCAACTTGTCACACACTCTACGCTTGCTGGTCGGATGGTCCGTTCATGTATCACAGTGACATTGATGAAGAATCTAATCGGCCTCTGATGGCCAGCGAGTTAGAAAGGTCCAGCTTTTGTTTGAACAAGATGGGTTCCGCGCTCACTGTGGCCTTCAAAATACTGCTTGCCGTGTAAACACCAAGCTGTAGGTCAACGCTCAGTAGCAACTATCGGCTGAATACAGGGTACTTTATTTATAACGCTTTGTGTCGCACTAAAACTGATCTCACCCTGACGACTCCTGCTCCACAGCTCCTAGCACAGACTTACGCTCAACAGGCTGAACATTATGTTGGACACGTCAGAGATGTAATGGGTATTATTAGTGTTTCAACATACCTGCAAACCTTTTACAGGTCGTTTAACTGTCTTAAAACGGAAGTAAATGTGGAGTTTACTACACGATACTGGTCACTAACAAGATTGTAACAGCAAGTGGTTCTAATTCAAGAGATCTCGATGGATCTCTGCCGGCCACTTGAGGTGTTTTTGATTGAAACCCTCCACAAAGGCAGCCTTATTTCAGACTCTTAAGTATTTTTTTTTTTTTTTTTTTTTTTTTTGGTTACCCCGCATCATCTACTCTGTGACGGAATGTTCAAATATGTCTGCTCCACATATGAATGGTCTTCCTTCAATCTCTTAAAACTCCACAGCAAAGAGTTTAGCTGAATCTGTAGCCTGCAATGCCACCGCTCAACACACAGCTGTTCTATCAGTTAAAAAAATGACTGTCAGCACCCACCTGCACTTTGAGAATGTGGGTGACGTGTCAGTGTTGACATTGTGTCCGCGCAGATCATGTGACGCCACCTGTTTTTGTAGGCTGGTCCACTATCTGTGTGCTAGTGGAGCACAAACCAAAGAAAAGTACAGCACTCGAGATGAAATGTATTTGGTTTAAGGAGCTGAGTTTCCCCAATAATGACCTGCTCTTGAATGGTTACGTTTGACTTAAAATGTACAGTACATGATGTCAAAAGAATGTCTTTACCGTTATCATAAACATGATGTCTCTGTCCTATAGCGGTTCATTTGTCATTGTGGTGATGGTTATTCCCGCTTCTTATTTTTAGACGTTTCTTTCACGTGTTTTTGTGAAAGTCTCGGTTGCTTCATGTTTTGGTGAAACACCTCTGCTTCGACACAGATGGTGTGTAAGTCAGTATCTGTGTAGTATCATCGTGACCTCTTATCACACAGACATTACAGCAGTGCAACATCACACCACCGCTCGCTCAACAACAACACTACTCACTTTTAACCTCTTGCGCTGTTAATATCCAAAATGCAAGTTTCTAAAAGGAACCAGAAACCTAAACGCGGTCTTCAGTAGAATATGATGGTGCTGACTTCATCATCGAGTTGAATGTTTGCTCACTTTTATTTGTTACCAATCTTCTCAGTCCATAGAAGGTCACAGATTATAAAAAAATCATCTGGTTGTTACTAATGCAACCAGTGAAATTACCCGTTGAGGGCCAGTAAAAACACCTGTTTTATCGCTGCAACTTAATCTGGAGCTGACAAACAATATAACCGATGCAGCGTAAAGCATCTCTGCACAAACGTGACTCCAGATGTTTTAATTGTCTACACACAATTAGTGCCTTTTGTAAACCTCCAGGTTTCAGACTGTTCAACCTGTGGACGAGAATAAACTGCTAACTGTTTAAGCGTTTGACTCGCTTGACACGCACTTGGTTCTTAATGCTGCTGCCTGTAGAACCTCCTAAAACCCTTCCTGGTAGTGTGATGCATCAATATGCAATTCCAGAAAATCTCAGAAAGAGCTGATTAAAAGCTGTTAAGAGATTTGGAGGTTCACTCTGGTATTTTCCAGGCTCTGCAGTTTTTTTGTTTTCTCCTGTCAAAGGCTCCTTTTTAATTGTATTGACGAGGATGCAGCTGTTGGGAGCATTGTATTTTCTGACACGTCCTGCGTCTGAAATTTGAGTTGCTGACGCAGCTCTCTTCCAGTCTTGCTTGATGCTTTCCAGACATTGTACACATCAAACATGGAATAACATAAAACAACCATGGTGTCCTACAACATTCATTCTGTCAAAATCTAGTTTAATCTTCCGCATGAAGCAGCTTTAACGTCCGAAACTTGTAATGGCTTTAAAATCAGTCAAAGCACTTGCGGAATAAACTACACGGTGCGCCCCTCACTTGTTCATGCAAGTGTTCAACGAATGATTTTGCACCTGTTTTGTGGTGGTTGTGTATTAAATATCCCCAGAAGTACAACTCCCTGATCCTTGTTGAGTTGGTTGTCCTCACACAGGCCCACGGTGCTCCTTGTACAGTTTAACGGTCACTAAATCCAGCAGAAGAGAGTAAGAAACGTGCTTTAAATTGAACACCAGCAAGTTGTGTCCACGTGAGTCTTTTCACATGATTGTTGGATGTGCAATGCGGCGATATCATCTCAGGGTAAACTTGTGGCAAAATGTTTTGATGTGTTCATTGTCTTTACCTTGGAGGGCCAAAAAAAAGAATCTTATAACACGATTGTAAATGTACACAATGTGTCCCCCTCGTACTTACAGCAACTACACTAGATATACTGTACGTAAATGTCAAGTTTTGGTGCGCGTCTCTCTTAATCAAACAGCAAGGGCTTCTTGCTAAAGCTGCCATTTTGCACCAACTTTGAACAATCGCACGAAGAAATCAATTGTTAGAAGAGACGGACTCTTTTTCTACTTAAAGTGGCCTCGATAGACCACAGTGCAATGCAACCAACAAAGACTTCCCGTGTTTTGACTAAGATGAGGGGTATTGCTGTAATCACGGTCACGCCTCATGGTTCACCTCGCAGCCCTGCTTTAGTGGTTTGTCACTAAGCACTCTGGGAAATGTAGGAAGGATGGAATGAGATGAGCTGTAAAAGGGTTTCTGTCATCTAAAAACTTGGTGCTTTTGCGTGGCCCCCTGCAGAAAAGCCCCAAAATCCATTAAATACATGAGTTTCTCCACTAAAAGTCAAACTTCTTCTCTTTTATCTGACCCGGGTTGAGACCCGGGTTTTATCAGTCGAATTGTAGCGCGTGACTCAGCCGAGTGTATTAAACATAACGGATCCTTTTTACAGCCGGTTATTAGATTGTTATCCACCTTTTGTAATTACTGGCTGCAGCTGTTAAATTCGTTTGAATCTGAGAGCGAAATGTCTGACTTCATATTTATACTGTATATTATTCATCATAATCATTGATTAAATCACTATAGTGGGAAAAACAAAGGTGTTTCTGTATTTTGTGTTGCAGAAGTTACTGTTAGCATCCATCATGACTCCTCCTGTTCTTTGATCTACAAATGACCATACTGCTGTTTCTTTGGACAATTAGTCTCAATGCTATCATAGTTATTATACCGATATGAATTAATAAAGTGAGTCCATACTTTTCAGGTTTGGAGTGAGCTTTTTTTTTTTTTTAGTTCTTCTACACAAAACTGAAGCAATTGTTAGAAATGAGCTGGTATAGTTCAGAGTTAAACTGGCCCTAAATGAACTTAAAGTCCGTCCTTGATTAGGAGACTCAAACTCATTCCTTCCTTCCTTACCTTATTCACCATATTAGTTTAGCGTGTTAGCATGCTAACAGTTGCTAATTGGCTTTGAAGACAATACAGCTGAAGCTGATGGGAATCCCCAGTGGTGGAAAATAATTAAGGATATTCCCTGTACTTACAATTTGTAGGTGCTTGTTCTTAACTCAAGTATTTCTATTTTATTCTACTTTAAACTTCTACATTCTATTATAGACAGAGCAACTCCTTTACCAGTGATTAAAGTGATGTACACATGAATGCATCAATAATTATAATCAAATAATAGAATATAAATGATTCAGAAATGGATCATTCTGTATAATGAGTACTTTTGTTTTTAGTATATAGCTTGATTCTAATACTTATGTACTTACATTTAAGAATACTTTTGAATGCAGGACTTTTACTTGTAACAGAGTATTTCTACCGTGTGGTTTTTGCCACTTTGAATAAAGTAACAGATCTGAATACTTCTTCCACCACTGGGAATTTCATTAGTTTTGAATGTATACTTGGTCATAAATCAAAGTATTGGACACATTTTGACCTGATCAGTGCCTTAGCTGAAGATGAAAAGTTAATTAAATAAAATTATTTTTACTTCACCCAGAGGGGAAAATGAAGGCCTGAACCAATCCATCACATAGTCGTTGACCCACATCTATATCGTCATGCCATATATAACATGGCTAAAAATGATGAGACAGAAAATATAAACTATCATCCTTATCAACCCCAGTACAACTCCAGTTCTCTCAGACCGAACTGCAGTCTTCTTCTTCCTCCTCCTCTCTCTCTCTCTCTGTCTCTCTGCTGTCCTACTTCTTCTTTCTTCCTCCTGAATGCGTCCCACTCTGACCTGCATTTTAATGCACCGATCTGCATTTTGGTCCCGAGTAGCCGCCGTGCCGGAGCAGTTCCGCTTTAATTGATCATTACTGCAGCAGGATGTGACGGCTTTGATGCTGGGAGCTTCGGATGAATTACTGATGCTGATAACACTGTTTATGTTTTCACACTCCGAGACTCTATTTCAATTCTCACAAACCTCCCTCGCTGTGAGACCGAAGAAATGGGTCACGCGGCAGCAGTTGTTTCAACTCCATATGTGCAGCATGTTTTCTGCTGTGGCATATCACTGCTTTGTGAATCTTTGTCCATTAATTAGATTATCTCAATCTGGCAGTTCAATAGTCTGAGAAGTGTTTCTTAAAATATATAATACCAATTTAATAGTAAGCTCATAAAGGCAGTCTTGTAAACCTTTGGTGTAATTGAGTATGACTCAAGTAACATGCGCTCACAGGTAAATATTGTACTATTTACTCCACTTCAATTATCAGACAGCTGAGTACTTTGCAGATTAAGATTAAAAACTTTGATTTTTTTTAATGGAACATATAAAATACGAGGCGTTATTATACAGCAAATCAATCCACTCTTAAAAATAGGTCAAATCAGCTCCAATGCAAAAATGCTGCTTACATATCAAATGCAGTATGTTGCATGCCTAATGAATAGTTTTACTTCTGTACTACATATTTCTATATACTATATACTTTTACTTAAACCATTAATGCAGTACTTTAATTGTAATGGCAATATTGTGGTGCTTTGTACTTTGTTTTCTTATGTACTCCTTTGCTTTTTGAGTTTGTTGTTTCTGGCTCTGCAATACCAACAAATTTAGTCTTTTTTTACAAATTCTATATTCATTTGTGTTTAGGTATAGGCATTTGAATGCAAAAAAATAATGGTGTGCATTCAATGTTTGTCCCTCCACTCGCCTTTTTCAGTTTGTTCACCCCAAATCCAGAAGTATTGAAAAGCAAACAAGTCGACCTGCTCTGGAGCTCTGCGACAGCAGATCTGACGTCAAATGAAAGGACTAAATATAGCTCTATATATCATAAAACAAGTCATTTAAAAGCTCTCTGAAAGAGCTTTGACACATTCTCTGTACAAAGGCCCTCTTTCTCTCTCTCTCTACTGTGTATCACGTGAAGCCCATGTTTGTCTTTCTCTCTCTCTGCTCTGTGCTCTGGTCTCGTGCTGCCCGTCCGAGCGTCTGTTGGGAGATTAGAGCAGATTAACATAATCTTGACCGAGAGAGTAAATCCAAGGTGCGCATCACTCTCTCCACAGGGAGGGATGGGGCGAATTGCCACGTCAGAGCCGGGCAGTGTGGACCAGCTGAAGGCAGGTCTGTCACAGTAACATGAAGGAAAGCTGTGCCTCTGAATTAGGTAGTGGTAACATTTTCAAAGTGAACATTTGCTGATTTTTGTTGATAGTTCTTGTAAAATATTGCCGAAGAGTATAACATTTTTCTGCAAAACTGAAGTCCCCCGTGGTCCTTTTTGTTATGTTGTGCTGTCTTCTTTTCCTTTGTGTTGTTCTTTCTTAGTCCATTGATCTCAGTGAGGCCACTCCATGACAGACATGCTGTCTCTGTGACTACAAGACCAATGACCGCTGGTTAGAGCGCAACACATTTCCTGCTAATTTAGAGAATTTCACAAAAATGTCTAAAAGGATGAATGATGAAGTGATGACAGTTTGGACAGACATGGATTTAAACTGGAATTTGATTGGTGGAGGCATACGACTGCGACGATTGGATGGGTTCCCATGAAATTTGATGACATTCATGTTCCCCACAGGATGAATTGTTGACTTTTCATCAAGTGCCAAACTAAAGACAAATCTTAATTGTTCCAATACTTTGGTTTATGACCGACATTCCATTAGTAACTATAGCATGCAAGCAGGCTAAGCTGAGATGGTGAAGATGGTAGACGTGAGCATTAAAGTTGCTAAACATCAGCATGTTGTGATTGTGAGCATGTTAGCATTTTGCCTTTACTAGCATTGAACAAGCTTAGCTGCTAGCGTGGCTAAATTAGACTCTTGGTAATGTTGTTTTATGTATGCAAAAAGAAAAACAATCTAAAGAAGCATGTTCATCCATTACATGCTGTCACACTAAAAACCAACGGAAACCCTCCATTAAAATATACTTTCTTATGATAGAGTTCCCTGCTCAGCTCAGATTATGCAATTTGATACATATTGGCCAACTGTTTTTATTTAGGTATAGACTATAGATAATGATGGATTATAAGATGAAAACCTACTTCAACTATAACCTCCAGTCTGTACTTTTAGTCATTAGTTACAATAACTTTTTCAATGTCAATTTTCAGCAAAGGCAAAAGGGTTCAGCAGTGTATATTGACTCGAGGTTGGATTTACCCTCCAGCTTCAGCTCCTTGGCTTTCAAGACTGGTGAAAGGCTGTGAGGTGACTGCTGTTACAGTAATCTCATTAGTCAGATTAAACCACTGCATGCCACGGTAATTGACCGACACTCCCCAGATTCCACATTTAGAAACTGCCTCAGGGCTTTGTTCACGAAGGATTTGTCCCGTAGAGTCGAACACTGTGTCAACAAGTTATACAGGCACAACACACTTGATTCCACTGTAGTGCATCAATCAAAGACATTTTAAATATTGAAATAAAAACAAGTAGGCTAGCCGTCTGAAAACACCAGCTACCCACTCCTGCAGAATAAGATGGAGTGGATTCTGCTAAATGTCTGTGCTAAAAGCTGAAAAACCATCCAGACTGTGTTGATCTCCGCAGACATGGAGCACAGAGCCGCCCAGGGTGAGGACACCTACCAAAACATTCCTCACTCGTTTGCAGTCTCCTCAACTATTCACAGGCCTGTAAAAACATGTGCAGAGGCAGCACACACACACACACACACACACATACGTGCACAAAATCAAATCACACACAAATATTCTGTTTGACAGCACATACTGCAACATTTATATCTCTGCAGCTGGTGGCAAACTCGCTCCACAAGTTTGTTTCACATAATCCATCACAGAAGTCTAAGTCCCTGCCAAACTTCAGGGCTGGTCTGTGACAGAAAGCCACATCTATTTCAACATTCATTCCTCTTGCAACATTTGCAACCAACTTGGAAAGTACAGAGGTAAAAACAACATTAAAAGTTAATATTTGCATTGAATAGTATGCATTTAGGATATTTTCTCTGACGAACCTTGATCTGAAAACAAAGGACACAATAACAAATATTAAGGCGGTCAAGAGAAAGCCTTTACTCTTCACATTATCTGCGATCTTGAAGAGAATATCATCAGATCTCGTGGGGCGACTCTGTCAGCAGATGGTTTTGTTCAGGAAGGATTCAGCCTCGCCTCTCGTCGCGTGTCCGGCCTCGCAGCGGTTCATAACAACGACTCGACTCCTGCAAAGACTGCTGGGGGTTCAGCTGTCCCTTCATACTGCAGGTAAGTGCAGTGGATGAATTCCCCTCATTCCACTGACCCGCGGTCTGCTTTCAGACGTTTGTTTTACTGATTGAACGCTGGTCCGTTTACAGACAAATACATTCCAGGGACAGTGTGAGGAGGTTTTGTAAACTTTAGCCACATGCTTCACAATGATTACTTTAAGTCAGATCTGGCGAGATACCTGCTGCAGTTTAGTGTCAAAGGATTTGACTCATGGCTGACCCTGCCTTAAGGGGAGACACTGCAGGTGAATAGGGTTTAAATTCAAACTGATAAGATATCAGCATAAAACTGCCCCAGTTGATTACTTACATTAAGACAATTATTTTTTGTATTAAAAGTTTTCTGTATGAATGTTTAAATACAATAAAGGAGGCATTATATTATTAAATATGTGCTGATTTGCTCACATTTCCAGAACACAAATCTGAACATTGGATAAAGCCAGGTTTAAAATTCCATACATTAGTGTAAAAAAATATATATCCCAGTTGATTACTTACATTAAGATAATGACTGATGCAAAAATCCAAATCCAGTCAAACGTTTTTGAACTTTAAACATCAGCCGTCCCTCATTCATCACAATGACACGTATACGTTTTTAACGTGGCAATAAATAAAGGGAAAGTCAAATATGTCTGCTTTATTTATCCACTTACCCCCATTCCATTCTCACAATTCAACCTGTGTGCGTGTGTGTGTGTGTGTTTCTGTGTATGCGTGTGAGTTAAGATAAGCATTTCACCAATGAGCCAGAGAATGTGAAGACTGTCGTCTGGGTCCTGTCCAAACAGAGAAGTACCGGTAGTTATTGTCAAATTACAACCTAGGGGTCTGTGTTTGTGTAAATCGTACAGAGTGGCAATGAGAAACGGTGATTTAGATCAGGGGACGTGCTGGAGCTCCTCTCTGTGTGTCCGTCTCAATAAAGTAATCAAATCAAATAAATATCTCACTGGGGGTCTAGAGCGCTCATTGTCTACTTAGAATCGGAAAGAAAAACAGCGACTCCTCGACATCCTTCCAAAATGAAGACGGATCTTTTTCTCTATAAAGAGTACAAAAAAAATCTCTTCTGCTGCTCTCTGTCTCTGTTTGACAGCCGGCTTTGTGGAGCAAAAACACTTCAAAAACATTCCTTCTTCCAGCCCCGTGTGCAGAGTGTTCATTCAAAAACTGCTTCTCTCTGGCACAGGTTGTGGCGTCCGCGACCGCTTGTTTACTTCCTGCGATAACCGACATTTAGCCTCACATTCATTGAAATGTCAACAGGTCCTGGCCGCTCCATGGAAGCTTTTTACAGGCCTGAGCCACGCAGGTCTCCGACAGCAGGCCTAAACACACGGCCATCAGCGACAGACGTCTGCTGCTGTTCAGGATCACTGGAGAAGAGATGGAGGAGAGAGAGAGAGAGAGAGAGAGAGAGAGAGAGAGAGAGAGAGAAAGAGAGAGAGAGAGAGAGAGACGGATGAGACGCTTACTTTTTTACAAAGAAGGTTTTCATGTTAATCAAAGTACGTCTAAAAAAAAATCTGATCTCATACAAAGAAAAAAGTCTCTTGTGAGAAGTTCAGTTTTTAAACCTTCAACAAGCACCTTGTTGCCAACTGGTACGTACAGTAGAAAACAAGACGCAATATGATATCGAAAAGACTAAAAATAAAGCAGTGAAAAGACTGAATTCATTACTTCGTTGCACTTGGCATCAGACACACTCTAATTAGTTCTTCCTGAATGTGACGTACAGACTGTCCCCATCAGAGCAGCAGACCTTAAATCACTCCACAACGTGTCATTGTTTGCTGCTCACAGGCGAGCTGCTAAATACAAAGAGCAGATTAAGAAATAATTATACAAGATAAGAAACGTGGACTGTTGTGTTATGTGATGTATTTATTTCCGATGTGTCGGGGTTCTATGTAGAGGAGCAGCACCAGGAGTGGGGGGGGTTAAACTAAGAGAGCGTTAGTTGCCACCTGCTGGTGCTTTAAAAGAAGAATGAATCCCTGATGTGTCTAACAAGGTACAGTTTAAGGGTCTACCTATCCGTTCAAATTAAAAAATGAATCCTAATTTCTCTCAGAATTCTCTCAGGTATTTTCTTGGTCAGTAGTGTGTGTATCTTTAAATAAATAAAGATGAGATTGAGATTGACATAAATCCACTACAACAATGATGTGTTTTATATTTACAGATTTGGTCTTTTTAAACAAATTTGAGCGTCATCAGTAATGTAACATTGACCATGACTATTATAATAAAACATTGTGTAAAATCTGCGTTAAAGGATTTGCTAAAACGCTCTTTTAATGTTCTATAAAGGCGTACAGCTGTTTCGAATTATCCACAATAAGAAAAAACATTTATGGAAAAGCTCTAATTTACAGTAAGTTCAATATGTTGAATATTGGTACAACATATCTGCACATGTCTTTTGTTTTGTGTGTTTATTTCATCAAAGAACTGCCTAAAGAAATAATTACATATGTTCATTCCAGTTAAGAGGGCTGTGTTAAGTTACCTTCAATTGCCTTTTCTCAATTGTTTTTACATACGTTTAAATTCCCGTGGGGCAAGTGCTTGAAAACATTAGCTTCTATCTGTCTATCTTCTATCTTCCTGGCTGGATAACATCGGTGTTAGAGAACAGGCCCTCAAACCGACACGTCCTCTTACCTCTGATAGCCTGTGAGTTGGACGTGAGCACAAACAGCTTGATGAGGCCCAGACAGAGCGGCGAGTGGTCGTGCTCCCAGATGACAGCGGGGATGAGGAGGACCTTGCCGTAGCAGGACAGCAGCAGGGCTCTAAGGAGCAGGCTGAGCTCGAGGGTCCCGCCGCGCAGACGCCCCACCACCACCCACAGGAAGCACAGCACGCCACCGAAGAACGCCGCCAGCTCTACGCCACCGACAGACAGACATGTCAGACACATAGAGATGTATTAAGGGATGCAGTATTCTCTAGGACAATAACAGATGGACTGCAGCCTCCTCCGTGGGTCAGCAAGATTCAGCCTTTACCTACAAAAGCAACATTTAGGGGATTTGTCATTTCTATTGTTTATCCTATAGAGGGCGCTGGACTCCAGGATGGTGCTGAAATGATTAGCTGACTGACAGAAAATTCAACAGTTTTTAAGCCAATTAAGTCAAGCTTTTATCAAGCTGAAATATTCTCTGGTTCCAGCTTCTCAAATGAGAACATTTGCTGCTTTTCTCTGTTTTATATAATTGTAAATTAAATATGTTGCTTTTGGACTTTTGTTTGGTAAAAACAAGTGTTTTTTCGAATTTCAAACTTAATGTGAAGCAGACAATGTGCTTATGGTTTAGCTTTCCTGGTCAAAAGATTATATTTTTGATTTCTATAACTGTGCCACAGGTACCAGTTTTTGCACCTTGGCAGTTAAAAGAAACTGTACGATACACGTAAGATGACATCGTGAGGTTAATAGCAGCGAGCCACAACATCTAGTATATGAGAAATCGCTGTACACCAGAATAATCTATAATGTTGCAGCTCAACTAACACATGTACTTAAGGACAGAACTTGAGTAAGTCGATACAAACAATAACAGACGTGTAATGGAGCTCCGGTTTCATCGTCTTACCGAGGGCGGCCAGTCCAAACATGCCGTAGAACTCCCATTCCTTGGTGTACCTGATGATGTCAGCAGGGTCAGTGCTCTGCTCGGAGCCGTGGAGCAGGGACCACCTGAGGTAAGCCTCGCACAGCAGGCAGAACACACACAACTTCCAGTGGATCTGGAGGGGTGAAGAAGATGTACAAACACACACATGAAGTATACCTGAACGCCAGTGATGGAAGCAGTATTCAGATCCCTTATTGAGGTAGAAGTACTATGCTTATAGCACAGTATTACACTACAAGTAAAAGTCAGAAAAGCTCAGAAAAACAGCTTTCAGATTGGCGACACTTCATTTTCTAGCTGATCCAAGACGCTTGGATTAAATTAAGGAGAAGGAGAATATTTTTAACACATAAAGGAACGCTTCATCCTTCAGTTTAGTAAAAAAATCTGGATTACCATATTTGGATATACATGGTATTTACTCGAGAGGAAGGATCTGAGAAATGTAACCTGAAAGGTAACTAAAGCAAATGTAGAGGAGTAAAAAGTACAATATTAGTATCTGCAATGTAGTGAAGTAGAAGTATAAAGTAACATAAAATGAAAATACTCAAGTGAAGTACCTCACATTTGTATTTAAGTACAGTACTTCAGTTAATGTACTTCCACCACTTTTGACTTTTAACTGAAGTGTTCATCAAAAGGCCTGTAATTAACACACACACACACACACACAGTTATATATATACTATTGTTTGTGCACGTGCAAGAGAACTAGTTGACTTACATTCAAGGTTGTGTTGAACAAAATGTGTCTGAAAGCCTGCGTCTTGCACAAAATGGCATCAATCAGGATGATAACTGGGTCATATTCAATGTACTTGTCCACTGGCTTCTGGCACGACTCCTGGAGATGCACGCACGCACGCACGCACACACACACGCACACACACACACACACACACACACACACACACACACACACACACACGTAACGTGAACTCCAGCTAGTACAGATACTGACGTACTCATCTGAAATCTCCACATTGCTGTTAAGGCATTGACACGATCATGTTTAGGAAATTATCTTAATCATTTATAGAAGAGTGTTCAGGCATGTTGTCCAACTTGTGTTAGCCAAATACAGATACAAACGTTTTTACGTTTGTATCTTTAGTTTTTGTACTTTAGTTTCAGAAATGAGTAACATGAGATCTACGTTAACTTAACCTAGCTGTTTCATCTTTGAGGCAAACATTGTTAGCTAGCATTTTCATAATAAATAGTACTCAAATCCAAGAAGTTAACAGTTAACGCACACATATTGTTGTCTTCAGGATCCCGTTACTGTAATCCCTGTGTAACTCCAGTGCCGTTTCGTTACATTCAACACATCTAAAGTCATCTTTCCCCATTCTTCGCCCTGTAAACTGCTAGCTGACTACAAAACACCGCGAGCGTGTGAGCATAGACTGTACCACAGCGGAAGTAAGACTTTTACATACAGTCCCGTCTTCAAAATAAAAGTCCACAATTGCATCTGTTATATTCCAAACGTTCCAAATCATATCAATCATCGAAATAGGTTTTCACAAATAGGCCTAAGGGATTTTTTTGTGTATGTGTTGTGGTGCATAACAGTTGAAATAATCAAAGTAAGACAACAGAAAAAAGTACTGTAAAAGTTTACAATTAAATTACAATTTAAAGATACATTCTACAATCAATAGGATCTTATTTAATGCATTGCTTGCGAAAAGAGACTCACTCTATTCTTTGGTAAGGAATATATTTCGCTTTCTTATACTATATTATTATATATACACGACAGTAAACGATTTATTTTATTAAATTATTTGCCAACGTATCTCATTAAAACAGTTACACTAAAAGTAGTCAAGTTTAGTTTTAATTTGAAAGTTATACACGGAAACAGTTTTTGTTTGTCCCGCTCTGTACATTAAGGACGGCTCAAACTGGAGGGACCGGTTTGACAGCAGCAGAGTATGTTGGGAAATGCAGTTTAATCGTCCTCTCCGGCTCTAGTCTTCTTCTTCGCATCCCGCATACTCGCGCGTGATGAGGGGGGCGTGGTTCGTTCGGTTTTGATCGAACTGCAGCAGCTTCCGCTCTCTCTGGCGTCACACATGTAGCAAAACATGGCCCCTGCCGGTCGGACTGTTGTTGTGGTAGCGCTCTCAATGCTGTACCTGTGCCGGACAATCTTCTCCTCCGAGTATTTCTCCACTCTCACTTTGTTCAACAATGAGCTCCACAAGCAGGGATGCAGCTCGCTGTCCGAATGGGAAGAGTACGCGGCTGACTGCGGTAAAAGTCTCTCTTTTTCGCTGTTACTTTGCCACGTCTTCCCCGATTCAACTGTCACCGTGGAACCCGGCTAGCTTAACTGTTTGTACGCTAACGTCAAGATGAGCTAATCACAACAAGCAGTGAAAGCCCGGGGGGGAGATAACTGAGATAAGCTCTTGTTCTTACTGCCGTAGAGGTTAAATGGGATTTCAAACCAAAAGATACGAGAAAGAGAGTAGTAACACAGGAGGGAGAGTATATTAATGTGCACATAACAGTCAGGAAACTCAACAAAAACTCACTTATAAACTGCATCTCTTAGCTTACCCCAAGAGGTCAACACCAAGCTCCATTCAAAAAGATAGCTGTTACATCATTGTGGTGTTGCCTTGCTCGAGAGCAGAATCGCAGAACTGAAACATTCTTCTGATTAGGCAAGTAGCTTCTGGTGGTTGCTGTCCATCTGCCTAATGTTACAACTTATGCACCCAACTATATAGATCTTATTTCTTATCAAATCTCAGCTTTTAGGGCACACTGTTCCCCACTGTGTATATATAGATAGAGCAAAACAACTATACAATACTCATCAACAATTACTTTCAATAAAAAGTGGGATAATTGACTGTAACATACAAATACGTGTGAGGTGGACATAGTGCAAATTACACTGTAAAGTTGTATTGCAGTTGTGGATCGGATAATTCAAAGATGTTGAAAGATGAGTTCAGTGAGAGATTGTTCGAGTCCATTCGAGGGAAGCATGAGGCGTCACCTCCCTGGTTGTACAGGTGTGTTGTGGAGGAGGACAAAGAGAAATGAACTGGTTAAACAAGCTCAGATGACTGATGCATGTGTGCTGAACTGAGGAGATATTCTTAGTGATTTCTAATATATTGTAAAGCACAATAGCAACGTTCATGGCTTCTTGCGTGTTTTAGCCCAAGTGTTACACACATTCTGACCGATTTTGATGCAACTTTCCTGCCTCCTAGGCAACCAGCATGCTCAGTTTAGCTTGTATTAATATCAAAGAGTTGTTGTCTTTGTGTGGTAATGTAATAGAGTCTTAACAAAGCTGAGTGCAACACAATACATTCTAATATTCATTATTGTGCTCAGTAATATGAAATGCTAATAACATTTGTCTTTTCAGATTCCTCCATTTTACAGTTGGAAGACCCAGACTGTGAGGAGGGAAGCAACCCACCCTGTGAGTCAGTCTTCTCACTTAACGCAGAGAAGATCCTGGTGAGATCTCACACACACACACACACACACACACACACACACACACACACACACACACACACAGATCCATGAGTTGCTTCTAGTCGAGCCACAAAAAGCTTGTTTTTATCAAAATAGCACAACACTGCGCTATGTGCTAAATTTCTGTGTGACAAGCTCTCTAATCCTTTATTTGTGAAATGAGTGACAAACCCTATTTTCTATTATTGATGAATTTACTCCAATTTATTGGTGAAACATTAAGTTTTGCTTATGCTTTAACTTGATACGCATTCCTGAAGTCTTAGTTTGACATTGTCACATGTTGAGCCAAAAGACAGTTATGACAGTCTCTTTGTTGCTCTTATATTGAAGAGATTAATAAGCATGGTGATTTATTACCCAGTACTGTGTAATGACACAATACAGTGATACACACCCCGAGTACACCTCCACATACAAGTTCAGAGCAGTTTCATTCTTACAAAAACAATTTGAATTGAATAACTGCACGCCTAAGATCTTTCAAAAAGAAGAAGATTCATTTTATTATCTTTTGCCATGTTTGCACAGTTCATCCAAATCTGTTTCCCATTTACTTTGAAGGAGGTCTAAAAGCACCAAATTGTGGGCCTTCAGTAGTTCGTAAATTGTTCTCAAAGCCTGTGTTGTGTCTGATTTACAGTTAAGAAATGAGACCTCTAGCTTTTGACCTCATGGCAGTAAGTGAGTTCTTCATTCTGATGAAGTTGCTGCTGGTACTTGTTACGTAGGGCTATCTGAAGATATGTATGTGGCACGTTTTTGTCTTGTCGCTTTGTCTTGTTGCTGTTTTTTTTAAAACCTAAAATGCTGCCACAGCAACATTTGCCTGCTGTCAAATTTGCATCCTGTAATGGTTTATGTCATGCTGCCGTTCTCCATTTAGGAGGATGCAGTAAATACAATGTGAGACTGCGAGAAAGAGAAGGAGCCTTTTGCTTCACACACAGAATATTTATTGCTTCACAGGAATTTGGCTCGGCAGTAGTGAAGGACTTTGACATTTGAAAGCATTTCATTCTCTGATCTCTGGGGCTTAATTGTTCAGTGTAACCTTGAGAGCTGCTGGAGCGCTTGTTTATCCTCTTTTTAACTCACCAAAACCAAGGTTTTACAGCATTTCCCCACTTTACAAATATATTAAATATAGTTATTTTAGGGCAAAATGTCAGTTGATTGTGAAACTTTTTAGTTTGTCCACCTTTGAAACTTGCATGTTATTCTGTGTTTCTGCTCCATTTTGCCACTGGCTTCAAACAGGAAACCATTATTTTTATCTTTTTTTTCTGAGCTTTGCATGTCAGCGCTGTCTCTTGATGTGCGTCTCCCTTTTCACCTATACGTGTTGTCGTTTGTTTTATCTTGTCTCCACCTCTCACAGAACCAGGCAAAGTTGTTTATAGAACAGAAAAAAATCCCCTTCCCTGTAGATAACCACAACACAAACGAAGAACTTGGTAAGTTTGCCTGTTCTAAATACAAACCGAAGTCATGCTGAACTGATTCAAATGGTTCTTGCCAAGTTTTCCCAGTTACTCATCATCTGTTGCTCTGTCTTTGCAGCTATAGGCTACGTTCTGATAGGCAACGGCCTCTATGACGAAGCCATCAAACACTTCTCACTCTTATTACAGGTGTTTGCAATGTTCACTCTCAATGCATCATGTTTTATTATTGCCTCACTTTTGACATTTTGTCACCATCTACGTCCCTTCAACCTAGACTCAAAACACAACTTGCTTTCTTTTTGCTGAAGCCAAAAATATGAATATTAAATGAAGACGTGTTTTGACTTTAATTAAAGGGCGACCCAGAGCTGGTCAGTGCCATCTATGGGAGAGGGATAGCTTACGGGAAGAAAAGTCTGCAGGTGAGTGATTTTTGTGTGTGTGTTGTTTCTTTTACCTCTCGATGTTTGGGAATACCCTGAAACTATTGTTGTGGTTTACTCTGCTGTAATTTGTCTGCACTTGTGAAGCGCCCTCTGGCTTTGAAATGTGCAATAGAAAGACATTTTATTCACTCACTTTACATTAAAATACTCTTGGAATGTGCCACATTAATTTGGAGCAGCCTTTTACAATGTCATAAACTAAATAATGAAGTTATGGCTGAAGTTAAGTTATGATTATTGTCCTCATTAAGATATGAAGGGTTTCTTTTCAAAAATAAATGTTGCTGCTCGATTATTTACGAGAGACGCACACCATTCACTACGGCGCTGTAGTCAAGGTTTATCAGATGATTCATAGCAGAGGACTCATACTTCTGTGTGTCTTCTCTCAATTGATCGACTTCTTTTATTTGCATTAAAAGTTGAGTTTGCTGAAGAAAACCCTTCGTTTAATTGGTATATTCCTATTCATGCACGTGCCACAATTCGATTTAAAACAATTTGGCAGCATAGGGAGTTGTTGTCTTTATGCATTTTCTCATTCATCCTGGATTTTGGCGACAGCAGCAGTTTCAGGTAAACGCAGAATAACTCAGTGTGTCATTTAATGAATGCTGATCCAATCTGCCAGGACTCTGCGGTTATGAGATCTATGAGTATGCCCTCAGAGGAACGGCCGCGCAGCAGTTTTTCTACTTGCTGGTGGCTCCTAGTTTTGTTCACTATATGTCAAGGTTTGTTTCAACAAAATGTAACTGCCCCTCCCTTTCTTCTGTCTCCACGCTAGGACATAAAGAATGCTGACTTGGCGTTGTACGAGCTCAACAGAGTCATCACCCTGGAGCCTAACTGGCCAGAGGTCTACGAACAGAGAGCAGAGGTACAGAGACACTGTTAAACGCGGGAGTTACTCTTGATTATGGGTCATGGCCTCTGAAGCTCCTTCAAAAGTATGAAAAATTATGTTTTTTAGAGGAGATTTCAAGTGCTACAATGGAGCTCGTTTAGCTGATCAATTTCCAATGCTAACGTTCTATACCGTTCATAAGTTGGAAGTGATCATTAATCTCCACCACATCCAATCAATTTTATGGTTAGACGTCTGGTCAGCGAAGCGTCACCGGCTTCTCGAGACATGTGATTCGCACACGTTTATTTCTGATGCAGTCAGAAGTTGTTGTGAAGCAAAAACACAGTATGTTCACTGAGAACATAGAGGCACGGAGAAGGAGGAGGTCACATACGTCCAAGATGGCGTATGTGAGATGTTCAGTTACACTTTGGGTGCAGTTTTAACATTGGCTAAACCTTACATCTGTGTGGCTTTATTCACGTGCACAGGAAACAGAAAAAAAAATTCAGATTGTGAAAAAGTTGTAAATATTCAGTTGTAGAGAGACGTCTAGATCTGTACAGCCAGTAATATTCAGACACACAAGCGTGAAGTCACGTGGTTTTTGTATTTCACCAGAGTGTTTGAGGAATCACGCTGCCTGTTTGAGAAAACGTCTCCTCCCCGAGGTTTCATTCTGAGGATTTTTTTTTTTTTTTTATAGGCTGTTTCCTCTTTGTCAGCTGTAACCACTTGAATACATCTCTGGTGTAATCGGGCTGAAACGCAAGTCACACAAGTGTTGCTACACAATCCGGTCCACTGAGACCTCATGTCACTTTATGTCATTTAGTTGCATTTTATTGAACTCATTAAGAACAACATTGTGCAACACAAAGGCCAAGTTAATAAGCTGAGTTTTGCTTATTCCTTAAATCCTATTTCAAGAAGATTATTCCTGTTATTGTTAAAACAAAAATGTTTAGGTTCACTTTGAAAGGAATACTCACTCCACCTTTTCCAGCAGAAGAATAATCTTTATAGTCCTTTCTCTAAGAGGAAATCCTGCACGATTGAATATCAACCATAAATAGTGGATCACATGCAGTGTTTCTGTGCTTTTTCTTTTCATCTGTAAGTCAGTGTGTTTCACTTTAAAGGAAAAGATCACAAACTCCTTCTCAGCTGGAATGATCCAACCAGCTTTTACTAATCTGCAGGAAAAGCAATTTCCTTGCAAAAACTATTTCGCCAAGAATCAAATGAAAAGACATAATTATCCGAATGTGTTTTTAAGTGCGTGCTGGGACTTCATCCTTCCATTTGTTTGTGCGTGTGCGTCTTCAGATCCTGTCCCCTCTGGGTCGTATCAGTGAGGCTCTGGGTGACCTGACCAAAGCCATCCAGCTGCAGCCCTCAGCCCGTCTCTACAGACACAGAGGAACCCTGCTCTTCATTTCAGAGGTTTGGATTGTCAAATGTCCCGTATGTGCAATGTGTACGCTGCGGGCCTTCATGCTTCTATTTGCTGACCCTGTGCTTTGCCTTCCCATCAGGACTATGTGGCAGCTATGGAAGACTTCCAGCAGTCTTTAGAGCTGAAGAAGAATCAGCCTATTGCCATGCTGTATAAAGGCCTCACCTTCTTCCACAGAGGAATGCTCAAGGTACGTTGCTCACTGTCTCCTCTTTTTGTCTGTTTTTAAGCGTAAATCTGGTAATTTGGTTGTGTATGTTTTGCTTCTTGAAAATTAATTAAAACCAAACTTTTTAAATAGCTTTTAACTTTTTTTTTTGCTTATTTGGAGGGATTCTAGTACATAATCTGCACCACATTTATGCTTTCTATCCACATTTGTTTCTTCAGTGTCAAATACTGGAAGCTTCCTTTGAGTTGTCAACATGACAAGAGGCCTTTTTTTTGTTTTGTTTTTACTGCTGCTCAAAACATAGCGTACCGTTTTTGGTGCTTAGAGACATAGATCTCGGGGGAAATTACTTTAAACCAAACCACTTCTTTTAGAACATGTTGGGTATTTGATGGTGGGAATTGAGTCTTATTATGTCTGCAACATGCAGAAATAAGGGAAACGTTGAAATGAGATAAAGGACAAGGACATACACCATATTGAAGCTCCTGGTGGGGCATGCAAAGACTTAATTACAAATTGTATACTCATTTTAATCGCCTATGACCAGCTGCAAAGTAGATCGAGCATCCTGCTCTGGGAGGGACTGCAAGTCTGGGTTGATTTTTGTTTTCAGAGGTTACCACCACAGAGTTGTTATTTTTAGCAGACCTCTCAGTAGGGAGAAGATGCCGTGTTTCACACCAGTTTCCTGTATCTGCTTGTCGTGGAGGCAGTAAATCAGAAAGCAATGCTCCATGCACCGTGAGGAGAGTTAAAAGTCAAGATGTCTCTACTTCTGCCTTTTTTAAAACATGAAACTTCTAGATATGATATGGCTTAACTCTTAATCGTGTTGTTACTCTGTAGTGGACCAAGGTTCAACATCCATAGTGTTTCTCACACTTTGATTAATTGATGTCAGATTGAGCGGAGTGTAGAGCAGTGTCTGCAGCTGCGGGTTTTTCAGCTGCAATACTTTTCAGTTGCGGTGTTTTAAGTTAGTCATGTGGGTAGGTTTTTTTCTTTGGTTGTGTTTATCACCTCTGCTGACCAATTTTAAGGGGGAAACCCTGTGCAGTACCTACAGACAAGTTAACTGTAAGCAATAGCAACACTCTGAATATACCGACAATGGAGCCAGTAGTACATTTGATACTCGGATACAGGTACTCTCATCGTCATAAGGAGTAGTAGGATCATGTACTCTGAGTGTGAGAGTTGGACATAAGAAGAGCTGCTTTGTGACAGTGGAATCTGCTGCAGCTTGTCCTCAACAAAGCCAACATTGCACAATCTGCTTTTTTTATCAGTAAAAGCTGCGAGGAAATTAGTGTGAATATGCCCTTTGTTTGCATGGCCGAGGAGGAGCACACTTCCCTGTTCACGAGAAAAACGTTATCTACACTAAACGTTCTTTTATGCTGCGATATCGAAAGAGAGACACGGTTTGTAGACACACTCTGAATATATATCTGATACAAGGTGTGAACACTCCGCTGAGTCTGAATTTTAGGTCCATCCCCATGTTGTGCAAGTTCCTCTTGTGTTGCCTCTCTGAACGGTTGTTGGGTTTTCTGTCGTCAGGAAGCCATAGAGACATTCAAAGAGGCGCTGAAGTTGAAGTCCGACTTCATAGACGCCTATAAGAGCCTTGGACAGGCCTACAGGTACAGCCATATTGGCATTCACTGGTCACATCACATCTTGTTTTTACCCAACGTTTAAACACAATATGTTCCTTTTTGTATTTCAATAATCCGTCTCACTGACAACATGTGCACTGTCGCTCTCTTGGTGTCTCTGCTTCCTCTTTCTAGAGAGCTGGGTGATTTTGAGTCAGCGATGGAGAGCTTCCAGAAAGCCCTCATGTTGAACCAGAACCACATCCAGTCTCTGCAGCTCCGAGGCATGATGCTGTACCACCACGGCTCGCTGCAGGAGGCCATAGGCAACTTCAAGGTGGGGGGTGGGGATCCACAGTAGAATTAAATTAGCTCGGTCCTCTGTAACGATTGTATGGAATTATACAACATATTCTTACTCATTTAATCAGCAGATTTAAACTTATTTGATGGCCTGAGTTAGTTAGTGAGTAACACAAATGAAAGCTTATAAGTTCATCAACCTTAAACTGTGTACATAACATATGTCCTGCAAACTTCAGCAGTCCAACCCTTCTTACCGTCTTCTGTTTTTGCTTTCTTTGAATCTCTCTCCTCTTATTGGTCCTCCAGAGGTGTCTTCAGTTGGAACCCTACAACGAGGTGTGTCAGTACATGAAGGGGTTGAGTCACGTGGCGATGGGACAGTTCTACGAGGGCATCAAAGCTCAGACTAAAGTCATGTTGAACGACCCTCTGCTGGGGCAGAAGGCCAGCTCCGAATACCTCAAAGTTAAATACCTCAGAGGTCGGTGTCGCATGCATGCAAACACCAGATACCATAATGGACACAGTCAGATGTTTTGTTGCTCCGCTTTCATTCACACAATGAATCCTGTGCAAGTAAACTATCGAGAACATCCCACTCTATTCAAATGTTTTTGTAACGAGTACTCAGATTAAAGTTTATTTTATTTCATGAGAGTTTTATCAGAGTTTACACCACAGCCCCTTAAAACTCTTAGTTTTGATTGGCTGGCTGGTTCCGATTTGTTTTTAGTACCTTTTGATGCAGGAGTTTGTTTGAATTTCTAAATTAATAAATTATGCACAATGAAGGTAATGACAGCAACATTAGCTAAAACCTCCATTTCTAAAATAAATCAGTTCAGGCCATTTTGATATTTTGCCCCGCCTTGGTTTCCTACCAGAGTACTCTCGCTACCTGCACTCCCACCTTGACATCCCAGTAGTCGAGTACAACGTGGACCAGGACTTACCAGGGAACTTTAAGAACCACTGGGCCAAGAACCTGCCTTTTCTAATAGAAGACTATGAAGAACAGCCCGGCCTGCAGCCTCATATCAAGTAGGTGTGATGGGTCCGTTACAGCTGATTCACACCTGGAGCAATTACTCTGATCAAAACTGTAGTTATTGTTATAGATGTGAATGGGCTTTGATATTGTAATATCTAAGATTCATACATTTTCTTGGTTTTATTTGATGTTAATATAGTGTCCTGCAATTCACCTGTGTAGTGAGTGTGTCATCCTCAGGAAGTCTGAGAAATCAGCATCCATCATTACCCTGATTTCCAGAGCCGTCGTTTGTTGCGAGCCCAGAGCTGAGGCGAACAGTGTTTTATGGTAGAAAGCTAACATCTGACGTCTTTTTTTTTTTTATAAGGCATGATAGCTCCAGTGTCCTTCAGGCAGAACCTTTTATTCCTTTGTCAGCAAACTAGAACTTGTTTCATAAAGACATTTCAGAAGGTTGACAGGTAGCCACAGTACAGTCCAGAAAAAGACAACAACAACCTGCACGCTTCATGATAAGCTTTGACGAAGTTCATCCTCTGCATCTTCCCATGTTTTGTGCTTTGCAGGGACGTGCTGCCGCAGAACTTTGAGAGCTACAGCAGTGAAGTTCAAAAGCTGATCTGCTCAGCCGACCACCTGGGGGCGCTAATGCAGTACGACACTCCTGGTTTCTTACCCAACAGGAGAATACACAGAGGTACCACTGATGAGTGCTGCAGTTCATGAAGATGTTTTAAGTATTCACAGCAGCAGTAAAAAAAAAAAAAAAAAATGAATTGTACTTTTTTAGCCATGGGTTTAGCAACCCTGGAGGTGATGCAGGCCATGCAACGAACGTGGAGCAACTCCAAAGTGCGAGTCAACGGCAAAACCAGGCAAATGCAGTGGAGAGACATGTTCGATATAGCTGTGAAATGGAGGAGGTGAGGACCTGTCACAAATGTGTAAAAAAAGGAATTCAAACCCAGATGTATATACCGGGTGTGGGGGTTAAACGTAACGTAATGTTAAAGATGTTTTGCATATTTTGTCTTTGGAAAAATGCAAGTAATCTGTGTTGTAATGAACTCTATAGCTCAGCATCAATGGGTGGTATAATACAGTGACTGAAGACACAATTTATTCACTCTGAAAGCATCCAACTGTTCGTTTGGTTTGGCGAGATGAGAGCAATGACCAAAGGAAACCTCCTAAAAATAAGTCTTATTCCAAGAGAAACTAAGTTCTGCTCAGGAGCAACTTTGGAATCCTAACCATCTTCAGGAAATAACCCTAAAACACACGTGAATAAAGCAAAAAACAGAATACAGATGTTGATACGTGATAGCTACCCATTTGTTTTCTTGCATAACAAAAGAAGTCTAGACTGAAGCTCATATTCATCAGAACAGTTGTATTAAAGCTCAGAGAACTGAGCAGTCGGTCACTAAAACCTCTTTAAACGGTTATATTTCAATCACTTGTGTTCACCTCAGTCGTTTGCTTGTAGCATGAAATGAAACAAACCAAATACAGACACAGAGTTGACGAAACTTTTCCTCTGTCCTTCTGACACTTCGGTCCTTAGCTGATTGGATTTCAGTGTTGAGAGACTAACGGGGCTTTTCCTGTGTTCGTAGGATCGCGGATCCAGACCAGCCAGTTTTGTGGTTAGACCAGATGCCTGCCCGGAGTCTCAGTCGAGGCTTCAACAATCACATCAATCTCATCAGGTAACAACTTGGCCCCCGAGGACCGTGACGGTCGCTCTCGTGAGCAAATAGAGTTTCAACGTGGCTTTGCTTTGGGCCTTTTCTCAGCTCCGTAGTGCGAATATTTAAAATCCTTGTAATACGACCCACTTCTCACAGTAGCCTTGACTCTGACGAGCTCACCGAAAGCACTTCTTCATACAAAAGTCGCCTTTTTTTGGCAGCATGTTGAAATCCTTTTTTCTTTTTTTTTTTGCTTCAGGGGACAGATTATCAACATCAGGTACTTGGCGTACTTTGACAACATCCTCGACTTTATCAAAGACAGAATACTGGTGTACCACGGGTAAATTACTCCATGACTTCATCCAGTTTCCATCTTCAGTGACTTAAAAACACTTTTCCGCTCTTTCTATTCTGTTTCTGTCTTTTGCATTCATTGAAAAACTTGAATGAAAGAACTGTGGCTAGCACCGCATGACTGCGGTCATGTAAATAGGCTTGCCTACTGTACGCTGCCTACAAGGCAGAGTTATTGTTTCCCCCAGGCTTTATTCATTGAGCATGAGAGTGTTGAGGAAGTGTTTCTCACAAATATATAAATGAATATTTATTCTTCATCAGTTTCCTCGCTCCTCTGTTTACTCGCTGCTTCTTTAATTAACAAGTTCCTGCTTTGCGTCTCAGGGCGTACAACCCCAGAGGGCTCTTAGACGTCCGTCTGGCTCTTGAAAATGTGAATAAAGTAGAAGATCTGCTTCCTATAATGAAGGTAAGGATGGAAATCTGGATTATTAGTGGGGAGGGAAGTAAATAGAGATAAAGACGATGCGTGCATGTCTAAATACACTGGATTAAAGTTTAGATATAACACAATCCACTCAAGGTCCACTTACTTATGACGTGATAAGTTGCTTTGGAAATAAGTAAGTGGACCGTGAGTTGACATTGTTGTCTGCTGTTGTTTCCAAGTTATTAAAAATGAACTAAAGTTTGTTAAATGTTTTACTGTGAGAGACTTCTGAAGCTGGCACAATATGTTTTGTGTTGTTTTATGTCCTGTAGCCGTTCAGCAGTGAAAACCCAGAGTGGTTGTTTGCCTGTTTTTTATTTCTTGAAGCAGTTCAATAGTAAAACCAGAGATGGCTTCACGGTCAACTCCAAAGTGCCGAGCGTGAAGGATTCTGGGAAAGAGTACGACGGTTTCACCATCACGATCACTGGAGACAGGTACGATGAAACGACGGCCTGCCGTATTTGGCCTTTTTTTTTTTTTTTCTGAAGTTTTCTGAAATTTCTTTTTGAATTTCTGCACAAACTATCAGAAACCGTCCCAGGGAAGCTCGTCATCACCTGATTCGTGACCTGACAGTAGTCCGTCGTCATAATCGACTTGAGAGAGCAACTGCTCACTCCTGTGTGATCAAAGAAAGCAAATCTATTCCCCTAGTCATGTGAAATCCATAGTCCAGAGCCTAATAAATGGCCTTTTTCAAGATAAAACTGCACATTTTAGACTTTTTATTGGGACCTGCCCAAGGCGCACCTGGGTAATCATCATGCTGTTTAATCAGCATCTTAGCATCGGAGATGAAGTGATTATTCATTTGCTCTGGTGAACTGTTTTCTGTGTCGTAGGGTGGGCAACATGTTATTCTCAGTAGAGACTCAGACGACAGAGGAGCGGACGCAGCAGTACCAGTCAGAGATAGAGTCCATCTACAAAGACCTCACCGCCAAAGGAAAGGCATTAATGCTGTCCACGGAACTAGGGGTAAGATTTATCTTTGCAGTTAACGGGAAGCTTTTTTGGTTCATGGGCATGACTTTAGCATTCCATACGTAATAGAAAGCAGAATCATGTTCAATACAGTGACTTGTGACATGACATGAAGCTTTATATATTATTGTCTAAAGTAGAAAAAGGATCCGGATGAAAACAGTTAGCAGCAGATTATCCAGAGTTACCAGGATGTTGTTTTTTCAATGCTGCAAACAAACTTCCATTCACCTCAGTTGTGTTGGGGTGGAGGCAGAATTATATAGTCTATAGTTAATAAACATATTTTAAATATTTAATGACATTTTAAGAATAATAAATTAAAAGGGAAAATAATTGGTGGCAGCCCGTGTTGCAGTTACTCCTTCAAATTATTCTGCATGGTTTATTGAAACAGAAAAACAGTGAACTGAACTGTTTTAAAGTATTTGCGTTAAATATTTCACTTAATTTCAAGTCATCAGTCAGCACAGCAGTTCCCCAGTTCCCCCTCAGCATCTGACGATCTCCTCTTCTCTCATTCTTATTCCCCCTCTGCACCAATATCCCAGATTTCAGTTTTCTTGAAAGGCGAACTGGGGAGGGAATTTGATGAATTCTCTGGAGAATATCAGTCATTTTACAAATAGATCCCTTTTACGGGATTAAAGCAGAATGTATTCTCCAGCTGGCTGCTGTAGATGACTTTCAGACAGTGACAAACAGACGTTTAGACTTTCGAGAAAGACGATCAAACTGTTAAAGTAGCATTCTGACTTGAAAGTCTGTTCTGTTCAACGCGAGCTCAGTTCTCTTCGACAACAATGTCCCTATTGTTGTACCAACTAAACAAGGTTATCGACTCTGTTCTGAAACGGATACCTGGAACAAAATGAACACAGGACATCTCTTGCTCCGGGCTAGTTTCTGTCATAACAGTTGACTCTGTGATGACTTTTTGTTCTTTTAGGATGCAGATGCCGTGTGTAACCTGATCCTCTCCTTGGTGTATTACTTCTGCAACCTCATGCCCCTCTCCAGAGGATCCAGGTAATTTCCACGTCAAAACAGCCCTCGTGCAGGCGTACGGTTTTAATGTGTCATAATTTATAACCCATGGGACAAAGAAAATGTGTGTTCTTCTGGGATGTGCTGTGGCATGTTATTGTGCGAGTAAGTGCCATTTTAGTTTTTCGTTTTGAATGAGATCACCTTTGACAAAATGACAACAGTTAACGGTTGACATGAAAGGCAGAATGAGTATGATTTTCCTCACTTATGACCCACTAGATGTGTGTGATGGCGTCTGTATCTGCAGACACTCGGCCCTCTGCCTGTATTTCATCCTCCTCTTTACATTTTGCATTGTTCTGGGCGTCAAATGCAGGAAGAAAACAAAAACAAATGTAGCGACCAGGTGCCAGATTGTGAGCATGCATCCAAAGGAAGCTGGCAGACACAGCGCTGAAAATAGGCCAAATATAGTGAGGCAATACGCCAAACGAGAGTGATTCTGCGGTTGGCTTTCACCCGCTGGCAATCATTGTTCCCCTCGTTGAGCCGCGGTGTGCTTCCAAACAAGTCCTACAAATTCTTTTCTTTTCTTTTATTTCTGGAGATGAAGCCTGCCAGGCTGCAAGTGTTAGAGGGTGTGAGCATGATTAATGCTCGAAGGACAGCATGTTCTACCTTTAACGTGCAGTACTGTTATGACGCTAGTGTCTCATCTGCTTCTCCTCAGTGTGGTGGCCTACTCAGTCGTGATGGGTGCGCTGATGGCCAGTGGAAAAGAGGTCATCGGCAGGATCCCGAAAGGAAAGGTAAACATAATTGACCTTTCCGACTCTCAATGGGTCCGACGGAGTGACATTTCTCTAAGTAACGACATGTTTTAAAAACCACTTTTAACGTCTTTATCTGAATAAAACTGTAAGCAACATTTACGGAAAATGTGTGAATAACAAAAAGCTCCCATAACAGCTTGATACGGCCAACAATGTGTGAATGTCTGAGGGGAAAAAACTGTATGTAAAAGACTATCACTACCTCCTTTTTTTGTTATTGTGTTCAAATGAGAGGTGCACATTACACAGGAGTCTGCCATCTGCTCCATTGATAGACACAAAGCCTCGTATTGTTTCGTACACATCTATTCCGGCCCTATTGAAGAAGATGCTTGGCTGAAATCTCACTTATGTCGTTCCTGCCGAGCAGACACATTGTTCGACAGACGAGGCAGAAAAAAAGAAATCTGATCAGCTCATGAAAAGTTCAGCAAAGGTCAACTTTATTTTCAGCCAGGAAGCTTGTCGAGTGTCCTCCTAAAGTCCAGGTTTCTGTTTGCTCGGCTAAAGGATGTCTGGTGATTTCTGGATCTTAACGAATGAATAAAATCATTTGACTTGGATGAAACAAGAGAACATCCAGATAAAGAAAAGCACCATGTTTTAAGCCTTCTTGCAGACATATTGCTGCTAGTGAGGTTCAAAAGAGGATTTCATTTAAAAAATGTTAGAGGCTTTTCCCTTTTACATGCTGCGCATACCCCGATTAACCTAAAACGCCTCCCTGACGTACGTCCTACAGCTACGCCCTTTAAATAACTTTCATTTGTTATCTTGCATGTTATGTTTTTTTGGTAACAATCAGAAGTGGGCCTTAAGTGTGAATCGTTTGGGAAGCCCTGCTCTAAACTGTGGTTGTTGAATATTGTTCCAGCTGGTGGATTTTGAGGCCATGACCACACCCAGTCCAGACAGCTTCAGTAAAACAGCAAAGAACTGGATGAATCTCAAGAGGTAGGAAGACGAAACATGTCCTTTTTGTCTGTTATTCCTCTTCTTGGCTCGACTCTTATCGTTTCACGCTTTTTCTTCCTCGACAGTTTACCAAGTTGGTACCAGAGTCTTCCGTCTGTAGCGGAGACCTTCCCGTCCACCAGAACGATGATTGAGGTTCTCAACACAGACTCGTCTTCGCACTGTCCAAAGAAGTCCTAACACAACTTCTACACGGGAGACAAGTCTGATTATTAAGTCTTAATAAAGCTTCTACAATGGGCAGAAGAAAAGGGGCCGTCGCCTTCTGCACCCCGAACCAAACTGGATCGAGTTCTCCAAAAGCTTCTCTGGCTTTACTGGTAATTGTTTAATTTTTAAATTGGACTGAGGTGATATTGATACAAATTCAAAACATTATGTTAAAGAGGATTTTCCTTTGTGAAGAGGGTTATTTGTTTGGGGGAACGCTGCAATTGATCTTATTTTGGTGTCAAATTACCTCCAAGTCCTGCTCTGTTCTCTGTCATCCTCCGTCACACTTACCTCTGAAATTATATAAGTTAAAATTCTGGCAACACCTATATGGATAAATGCAATGTAGGCCAACGTTGTCACAAAACCTGAAGTTTGACTTTGCTAGCAGTACTATAATTGTTCTGAAACCATTCCTGTCTCTACTTGAGCACCACGGCAAACTGTCACTCCTTGTGTTAACGGCATAGTTCGGAAATTTCATTTTATCTCGAGAACCTAGAAGTTCATATCCAGTTCAGAATGTGTCGTTCCAACTGCAGCAGTCAACCGTCAACATCCTGGCTGACTTTTTATTTTATCTTCCCGTTTTTAATTTGTTTCGTATTAGAATTTCACTTCACAGAACACATTTAGTCATGTTCATGAAGTTGATTATTGAATCAGACTTTGGTTCAGGTACAGCAAATGCTGATTTATTTATTTATTTATTTTTTTTTTTCGACACTCTGTTTGGAGAAGATGACAGAGAACAATTGTATCACAGTTTGAAATGCAGAAGCGATTCTGTCCACCCTGTCTTTTTCTCTGCTTCATAGGCATCACCAAACCTGAAACTCCCAAAAGCAGACAGTATGACCAATCTTATGTTGCATAGTCATGGTTAAATCTTTAGCTTTAGATTACCTGGAACTTTAACTTGGATGTTACTTTGCTGTCTGGAATCTAAAACCATTTTTGGTTAATATTGAAGTTTGTAATTGGCACTTAAAAACTTATTTTTTAAACACACACACACACGGTCCAGCCTATCAGCAGAGAAGGAGTCTTGGGACATTTTGAAAACCTTCAGGGCTATTGAATTCCACTCTGGATACTTGAAGCAGTCTCTTCTTATTTAGTTTTCTTGAAACTTACAGGAAGTGTCACTTGCTCTTATCGGGTATAATGAACCCCCGCTCTCTTTCAACGTGACCAATAAAGGGTTGGTGTTTAGATGGGTTGGCTGCTGAACTAGTATGAAAGCAACAGTCAGAGATTTTTTCAGAGAGATACTTTTTGTGACGTAAAGTTCTCAAAGATTTGTCAGTTAATTGATTATTTGATCAACAGAAAACGAAAGTGACTGATGTGGTTTATCCTGAGTTTTATGTCATAAATTGAATACATTTGGGATAAAAAAAACTTGGACCAGGCTGAGTAAAAAATAAATTATTTATTTCTGTAGAATTGATGACTGGAAGGTTTATGAAAAGAGACAAAACTTCATGTCCTAATCTAGCTATGAACTGTGGCGGAGAGACTTTAACAATAAGCATAATAAGCTGCATTCAGTAACATGTCTCATATCAAAGTGAATAACAAAGTAAAGGCAGCCTGGTTGTTCTATAGTAGTGGGATTTGAAATAGTACCTTTTTCTTTTTAAAGTAAGTCAAAATCCAAACGTGCACAAATAAATGAAAAGACTCCTGAATGTTCTCTGACATCTCTGACCGTTGGATCTTGTTGAGGATTAATTATAGATGGGGGTAAAAGCACACCACACACTGTTATCGTCTTCCTATCATTCCTTTAGCCTGCATCAGATGCCATCCGTGTCTCACACACGTCTCTGGTTTTTCTTTGGATTACTTAGCTGGTGAGAGCTGCTCTTACCTGTTGCCGTTTGGGAGAGAAGAGCTCATATACCTCCAAATGTCTTAATCATCAAATAATGTTGCAAAACGTTGAGTTGTTTTTGGATGGCCACATTTCTGTCTTGTCAAACTTACAGATATCTGCAGAAAACCTGGTCAGAGTAAAAAAAAAAAAAAAATGTGAAAAGAGGTTTCCGGAATCCTCAAAGACATTTAATTGGCAGTAAATTTGAAAGTGTTGAAAGTGTTCATCGCTTGTGTGGTTTTCTGTTTGGTATTCTCTGTAGGGAAAGCTCATTAGTTTAAAAAGTGCGAGTCTGTTGACAAGATCGACATTTCTGACTACACAAAATTAAAGACTTGTTTATGGAAATTGGACGTGCGCACGCATCATAAAAAAAAATAAAAATATATATATATGATTAATATGAATGAAATGTGATGTTTACAACCTTATGAAACAAAAATACTTGAGTGACATTGAGGCTACATTAGCCTGTGTATTTTTTAATGACTCATCAACGTTGGTTTAAGCACAAGGAGGAAACAAGCTCAGCAGGTAATTCACCTGGAATGATCCGAGTCTTTTGAACAAATTTAAGCCGTTTTCTCTCTCATTGCAATTTTGATGAATATGGGGCCTTGAATGCTAAATTACCGTCACAGACAGTTCTCTCAATGCTGCAGTAGTTCTTAATTGAATGTCCAGTTTTTTGTTGTTTTTTTTATCCACAAAGTAAGAACAAATTGATCCGTTCAATGGCATTCCTGATTTATTTCTTGCATCGCTGACAGTCTGCTTTCCATCACTTTTTCTTGTTCATATCAGTGATTGTGCCGACTGGCTGTCATTCCCTTTTCTTTTTTTGCACTGGGTGACCCAGTCATTCAGTGCTATGGTGGGATCTTAAAGCTTAAAACTGGAAGGAGGGATTTTTTTTTTTTTTTTTTTATTGAATGAGTGAATGAATGTTCAGCAGTCAATAAACATGGTTGACAATTTTAACAGGCTCTGTCCTTTTTTTTTTTTTGGGAAACCTTAAATTGTCCGGGGAAAACTATTGGAAGACACTTTTGCTAATGAAAAATTAGATATGATCCCAAAAAATGACTCTTATTATTCACTTACTTAACTTATTATGGCATCTAACGTAAAGGTTGCAACTTCCGAACAACTGAAACATCCCCCGTGTACCAAGCGTGTCGGAGAACTACGGTGGCGACCGCGAAATCGTAAAACGCGAATGGCGTGATCTAGAGCCAGTGTGGTTTGTCTGTTCTGGGCTACTGTAGAAGCATGGCGACTAGCTCCGTGAAGAGGACCCATATATACATATCTGCTCTGTTATTTTATTGTACTGTATATATTGTGCATTTCCATATGTAATATTTTATAATTTATTTTACTCTGTAAATTGCTGCTACTGCAAACTAATTTCCCCCTGGGGATGAATAAAGTTTATATCTATCTATCTATTTCGGAGACCACATGGTCTAGCCTTCGCGGTCCTCAAAGGACGCGGCCCACGTAGACCACGAAGGCTGGGTCCTCCGAAGGATGCAGCCCCTGAATTGAGACACAGGCCAAATCCCAATGTCCCCCCTTAGGGACTCACGGACTTTGAGGCGCGCTCCCGCGAAGTCCGTGAGGGTTTAGGGATGTCCCACTGTCACATCATCAAGTGTTTGAGGGCTCTCTCGCAGACATTTTGAGCCCTTTATGAACCCTTTCCGTAAGTCAGCATGGTATGCTGACTTAGCTTAAGGGAATTACCCACAATTCATTGCAATGTGACGTTAAACACGGGGTAACCAGTGGATGCATGGAGACGTAAAAAAAAGGTGAACAAAGAGGACAGCTCACGTGTGTTCAGCCTTCTAGTCTTATTACATGTACACAGAAACATTAAGGGTTAAAGATGGAACAAAAAATAATTATAAAATCTTATTTATTTATTCATCAAATATTTGATTTGGTCATTGAAGTTGTTTTGACAAAAACAAGTAAATATATAATATAAAGTTACCTCTCATCTTGTGAGGAAAGAGCCTGGAAGACTTTCAAATCAGGGAGTACAAAGTATAAAATAAATATCTACAATTATACATCATATTTTTGTTGTTTTCATGGTCAGGTGATATGTTGCAGCAAAGTGTTGTCCCATTCCTATTTACACCATCTCAAGCCCTCAGTCTCTCACACTCACCCACTCACCAGGTGACGTCAGTAAGTCCTTGAGGGTTTGAGGGTTTAGGGAGGACATTGGGATTTGGCCAGAGCTCCCATATAAGGCTTTACCGCGTGACTTTGTCACGTGATCCCTCATTTTGCACTTTAGCTTACATGGCTGTCGGTTGACTGTCAGTTGTGGGTGCAGGTGAGAAAGGAGGCGGTGTGATCATGGCCGAGGATGCGACTGTATCGGAGGAGACTTTAACAAGTGCTCTGACTCTGATGGTCAACTTGGGCAAAGTCCTTCTACAGACAGCCAAGGACGAGGCAGAAGGTAGGACTGATGCAGAAGAGGGATGCATCTGTGGGGACAGATATTATTGAAAGTTTGGACTTTGTATGTGCGCTATTGCCAAGAAAGCTATTAGTCCGGTACGGTCCGTTACTATACGTACCATTATCATATTCAGAAGATGGGACAACAGCTGGGTCAACATAGTTATCTCCTTATAGGAACTTATATTACCGGCTCTGTTTGTCTCTTTGTTTGAACACTCATTACAGTAAAATGACATTCTTTAACATTACGAGAAAGGTAATTTGTGCTGCATTCACGTAGTTTCGGAATAATCGCAAAAATTACTTCCTGACTTTAACATTTCACGCGAACGTCCCTTCAAGTTTGAACAACTAGTCCCAAACAGCCACCGTGTTGTTTGAAGCGGTAAAATACGGCACATCGTATCTGTAGCGATCATGTTGTTTCCTTATTATGCGGCTCAATGAACACACCGAATTCGGAAGAACGACTTCTCAACTCGGGTAAAGGGGCCGTCCGAGGAGCACCTGAATGCACCACTTGTCTGCGCTCTCCAGAGTTGCGACTTGTAAGCGTCAATCTAGTTTTCTTATAAATTGCTTTTAAATTGTTCCCGTGCCCCTCATTCTACCAGTATATGTGCGAACGAGAAGCGGAAATAAAAGACAAGATTTCACTCCAATTGGTGTTGCTAATTGGATTATATATATATATATGTGTGTGTGTGTGTGTGTGTGTGTGTGTGTGTGTGTGTGTGTATATGTGTGTATATATATATGTATATATATATATATATATATGTGTATGTATATATGTGTATGTATATATGTATATATGTGTATGTATATATGTATATATGTGTATGTATATATGTATGTATGTGTGTATATATGTATGTATATATGTATGTATGTGTGTATATATATATATATGAATCGAAGAAGAGATCAGATTAATTTGTGTGTAACGTTTTGCTTTATCACCTTTGATGTGTGCCCAATAAGCACAACGGCAATAAAAAGGCAAGTTATTTAATCTAAGTCTGTGGTTCCATTTTTACCACGTAGGCTAAAACGTCAAATCTAGAGATAAAAAAACACATATTTAACTTTTCACCCACAGTTGCCACGCAATAAAAAATTTTATAATTCACCTTTTGACTATGTCATAAGCTGGCTGCAATGCCGGTTTCTGGTGACTTATTAAAGCAGGTCACTTGATTGAAGGCGTTGTAATGCAATCCCCGTCGTGCTTACTGCCAACACAGTGACATTGCACAAATCAGCCTGAATAACTGTGTCCCTTTGTACCCATTCAGAATCCCTGGAGACGTTTGTCCCATATAAGATCACCACTTTACTCGGCCTGATCACAGCCGGAGCAGACTTCTACAGAAGGTGGGGCGCTCTCAACACCTGCAGAATCATTTGGCCGTGTCACTGGCTCTAGTATAATGACGTCAATCCACTGTTTTAATCAAAGTTTGACTATATATAGATATTTTGTTTAATACTGAAGCAATTCTGTGTTTTGTTGCTGTTGAGCAGCATAGGAGTGAAGAAGAAGAGTGAGGCAGAGGACATTTGGCAGAAGTATTATCAGTAAGTATGAATATATAATCATAGCAAATGATGATAATGGTGATGATAATTACACAAATGTATATCTTAAATGCGCAATAATGTCTATAATTATTTTCCTGGCCCCTTTTTCATCCCCTCCAGCGTTTGAAATAGTGAACACACTTATGTTTGTGATTTTTAAAAGAAAAAAATGATAGGGATAAGTTATGTAAGATTAACAAAACCATGAGGAAACAAACAAGGGAGCCCTCTGCATTACACCAAGCCAAATGCACCAAAAAGAGATGAAAACAAACATAACTCTCCCTCCATCCTTCCCAAAACCATCAAACTTTGCTCAAACCTGCACGTCCCCTTTACTGACATTCAACCCACTCCTCAAATTATTTATTTTTTACATACAGTTGATCCAAAGCCAAATAGCCTCCACAAACGCAACACACACCAGCCCGAACCCTCGTGAAAAACCTGCATCTTGGTGTTGGATCTCATTAGTTATTAATGTAATGGATGAAGATCAGTGTGGACGCCTCTTTATCACAGAACTTTTCTCACTTTTCCAGCCACGCAGCAGTGAGAGAGCAGGTGGAGGAACTCTTGCAGCTTGAGGTCTGTATGCGTGAAACGTTTTGCCTTTTTAAGTTTCTATTAGGTCTTTGAATGTTACATATTATGACTTAAATTAGCTGATTCACAGACATATTTTACACACTGCACACAGCGAAGATTGGGGTCCACGTCTTTGGTTAAATGTTAATATAATGAAACCCTGACATGCAGTGCGTATATTTATATGCATCGATTTGTATTCTAATTCCAGAATCTCATGTAGAATGTGTATAGTTTTACAAATCAGTAATAAATCAACAACAATAAAATTAAGTCAGAATGCAGAATGTCTATTTTGTGACTCTGTGACATAAAAACATTTGATAAAAATGACTTTAGACTTTGATGCTATGTGCTTGTTAGCTTAGAAACAAGAGCTGGATTAGGTCTTTGTCCAGTTTTGCTTATACGTCATATTACTATTCCTTTAATTATTTCGAAATATGCTTTTACATTACTTTTGTATTTAATTTGTCTCTTAACCTGTCTATGATTGACTTGACGTATACTGGGATCTGTTTAGTTTCAACATGTGTGTGTGTTTTGTGTGTGTGTGTGTGTGTGTGTGTGTGTGTGTGTGTGTGTGTGTGTGTGTGTGTATGTGTGTGTGTGTGAGCAGAGTGAGTGGGACTCCTTCCTGGAGAGTGTGGACAGACGTCTGCAGACGACAGACAGACAGCTGTCAGGAAGAACGATCGCAGACCGCCTGAGCCCTGATACTCCGTTCACCGATGGATGGAGCGGAGAGTGAGTTCACACACTGCTGGTCACAACCTGAACTTGAATGTTCTTACCGCCTTTTTTTTGTCAATTAAAACCCACAGTGGGTTTGGTCATCAGTACAAAGAGACATCTTTACCATGCAACATCCAAGTATTTTTATTGAATCTAACTGTTTGTCTCATCGTCGTCTGAAGGAGCGTGACCCTGGGTCAGTACCTGGGTAAGGGTCAGAAGCCGCTGCTGGTCCTCATCAGACATTTTGGATGACTACCGTGACGAGACCACACGGCAGAGCTGGAGGCACATCAGGTCAGTTAACATTCAGTCTGATGGTAATTATTCATTTAGAGTCATTCTTTCAAAGAAAACAACTTTCAACTTAAAGTTTTTTTGTTTGTTTTGCGTCTTTTATATTTTTAGCTTGATATATAAGATTACCACACAAATACAATCAAGTTAGCTCCTGTCACAGCACGTGAACATGGACATAGATATACCAAAATCTTAAGTTAACATTTCATCCACTCAGCTTTATACAGTGTATCCCACAGCATATAGAACCATGTATAGTCCCGCTACCATGGAGGAGATACAACAGTGTTGTGTAACCTTTCATCCAGGCTCTTAAACCATGCCAGACGGGAACGTCTATACAAGGCCTTTATCTTAACTTCCAAGCACAATGAGCAACTAATGAAAACGTTTTGGTTTTATTTAAGGGGTTATGTGCTGAACTAATTATTGCCCAGGAGCAGTGACTTCCTAAGCTAAGCTAAGCTAACCTAACCAGGTGCTTAGCTTTGTACTTGCTGTGAGTGGTCTCGGCCTTCTCATCTAACTCTCAACAAGGAAGAAAATAACCATATATGCCAAAATGTTGAACTATTCCTTTAACCACATGGACTCCTAAATCTTTTTTTTCTCTGCTCTGACTACAAAAGTGTCCAAACATTTTTTTCCATGGCCTTGCAGCCACCACGCATCTACTTCTAAATCAATAAATGACTCGTGTTGGGACGGAGTGAGTGTAACAGATATAACCCATTACAGGCTTGCGATCAGTGTTTTTGTGAAATTGTTTCATTTTGCGTCTCTGTAGGCTGCCCTGGAGGCTCTGTCAGTGCGGGTCTTGGTGGTTTCTTTCGGGGGTTTGGAGGGGGCTCAGGTGTGGCTGGAGCAGACTGGATGTACTTTCGACATGCTGCTGGATCCACAGAGAAAGGTGAGGTCGTGACTGAATCAACTGACAACATGATAAGGAAATTTAAAAAAAACCAAAAACTAGGATTTGTCTTGTTCTGTAAATTTGAAATATAAGGATCAGATTACAGCAGATTAAACCTGTCTGCATGCTATTATAGTGTAGCTATATTTATATTCAGTGCAGGTGGGTAGGTGCATGAGACTAGAGACTTGTTATATTTAGCAGCTGTTTGATGATGTGTCCTGAAAGCCCAGTAAGCTGAAGCCTCCAAACCTTTCATTCTGAAAAGTCAACCACCAGATGTGAGATGGAAACCAGGGCAAGCAACCAAATATGAAGACAGAAGATTTTCCACATGTCACAGAAGCGATCGTCAATCATGATGTGTGTGTCTGTGTGAAAAACCTGAATAGGTCGTCCACAAAATACTTTTCATATCCAGTTGTTTTTTTTGTTTTTTTTCTGCAGAAAATATTACACATTCCTAACACCGTAGATGTTGTCTCTGCCACAGGTATACAGGAGTTTCGGCCTCGGCTCTTCCTACGCCAAGGTGATGAGGTTCGGCTGCCTGCTGCAGTACTCGGAGTACGGAGCTGTGGACAGAGACTTCCCCGTTGTCGCCCCTCGTCTGCTGGAAGATATCTACCAGGTACACATGGACGGCACAGCAGCAAATACTTTGAATCGGTGACGTAAACCGAGGAAATATGTGCCAAATTTTCAGATTAAGTGTGGGGTTAAAAAAAAAAAAGTTGCCCCCACCTCTCCCCTTCTCTGTGCTGTGTCTTTTCAAATTGAGAGAAATTACTTTGGTTCATAACTGCTAACTGACTAAGGAAATACCTGCAGTCACTTTCAACAACTTCCTCTTAAATGAAATGCAGTTATCAGTCCCATTCTGTGATTGTGAAGGTAAATTACATTTACTTTAATTAATGGTCTCAATTAGATGATCCTTATATACTCAAAACATGACATTGTTATTTAAAAGCTCTTCCCTTCTGTACTTTAGTTCAGGCTGCAAAACAAAAACAATGAGTGGAAGAGCTGCAGAGTCTAGTATTCACCACCCTTTGCATTCCATTTGATTCTATGTTAATATAGATAAACAAGCTTTAATGTGTTTTGGTATTTTTAGATGGGAGGTGACTTTTTGCTGGATGAAGCAGGGAAGGTCCTTCTTTCTCACCCGTCTAAATCCCCAATGGACAGGCCGACTGTGAAGGCCATCCTGCAGGCCCTGGACCCTTCAGGCTGCTCTGCCGACTCAGCAGAGTAACATCAACATGTGGATGACGAGCTGTGAACACTGGAGACACTTGGTTTGATCAGGGGGTTTAATGTTGTTGTTTTTACCACATCACTGACACCACAGAGGAAGAGCAGCTCTTTGACTCACGTTTATGACGTCACGTCTCGCATTCATGACACCATGAAGAAATGTGACCGATGCAGAACTGTAAATCAAAGACAAATGGATCTTCTCTTTGTTGTGTCATTGTTGTGATGGGAGCATCTTTTAAATGAGCGGTATGACTGGATTGCAATATAGTTTGATATGATTTTAGCAATTTCACTGTAATCTGTCATGTTGGAGAATATGGTATTCCTTTAGGCTTAACTTTAAAGTTGCTGAATTTGACTTTCAGAGCATTAATATAGCAGCAAACAATTATCATCTATGAAAAGATATAGCGGAGTTGTGTGTGTGTGTGTGTGTGTGAGTGTGTGTGTTTACATAGCCGGGCCGGCCGCTCGTGCATGCTGTTGCATGTGAGTCTCCCCGCACTGCGCTCATACAGCAGTAACTACTAAACACGCCGTCCCGACCCTCGTAGGGCCCACCCTCCGGTTTCCCACTAGTAGACACTGTTAGCAATATCAGTACTGTTGACATTTGCACTGTTAGCACCGTTGGCTGCTAGCCACCAGCTCAGCCATCGCCATGTTAAGAGCCTTGTGGAGTCAACAGATATGCTCTGAATTTGGCATTTTGCACCTTTTTTATTGGTGACTTATGCAGGTTTGGATTTCGGAGGCCCTAAGTGGTGGTGAGAGGGAACATTTTTAGTTTTGGAAGGGACGAATTACTACATTACCCAGACATGATGATATCACTGGCTACTTAGTGGCTGGTCAGGGTAGAGGTGAAAGCTGCTGCTGCATCCTCTTTTTCTTATGTAATCATGAAACTGCACTTTGAGACTTTACAGTAGAAAAAAAGACATAATTGCTGTCTGTAATATATGTAGTCTTCTTGTCCTAAAATTTGATGAGAATGTTCTTGAATGTACTTAAATCAAAATATTTGCCAATTTTAGAAAAAACGTATTGTATAGTTGTATATATTTAGACACCATTTAACATTTTAGAACTTGGGCTTCTTTTGTTAAATAAAAAAGGGTTCCGTAGAAAAATATGTCTCTAGTCCTATATTTCTAAAAGTAAGTTCTCACAAAAGTGTCATTGTGGTACCAGCACTGTATCAAAACATATCACACAATACCCAGCCCTACTGGTGAGGCAGATTTATGAAAAGCACTTACATTCGTGTTTTATATAAAACTCTTTTGCTTTACATACTGTGGGAAAATGTTCTGGTCTGAGATGTTGGAGAATCAGCAGTTTGACCAGACTGTTAAAATAGCTTCAAAGCTCAGAAGTAACAGCAAAGCACTGGCTACTGTTCAGCCCAAACACACATTGATTTATATCTTCAAGAGGTTCACTATGTGCTGATTCTGAAGAAAGTGCCTCCCAGATTTTCATGTTTTTTTTTTGCAAACTTTGAATAAATATTGAGAATCGCCAGCATGAAATCACAGCAGAGTCCTGACTGGTTTACATTCATATCACTGCAGCTGCATGAATAATATATTTATTATACTAACTTCATCTGATAAAGTTACCTAATCTTACTTTTTCTGTACTTTTAGAACTTAAATGGCAATACATGGATTCTTGAGCGTTGAAAAATTAAAAGCTGCATTCTGTTTCACCTTAAAAAAAACAATACCTTGAAATATTTCCATGGCAGATGTTTTTATCCTGTACGCATATGGACACTACTTAAACACTGCTGCACTAATAGCATATAGGATGGAAATCATAATTGATATTTATATTGAAAAATTCTTTTTCTTATGGAGCATTTAAGACCCCACCCTTGAAAACAACCAATCCAGCTATGTTTTAAGTGTATTTTAAAGGGCAATAAGTTATTTGAAAATAGAATGGGCTTTTATTTCTCGTGATTATAATAACTGAAGCTCAAAGTAGGAAAAAAAAAGAGTTCTTCTTAAAGTGCCACCCTGTCATCAAACTCGCACATATAGTTCATGGTCCGATCGCAGTAGTGGTCCCACCAGTCGCCGTCGTCCGAAGACATCGACACGCAGTTCTCCCGCCTCCCGCCGTCCGGCTGGCTGGACAGGAAGTGTTTGCGCCACTGGAAGTACGAGACCCGCGTCCCGTCGTCGAAGAGGTACATGCCCTCAGATCGCAGGTCGTTGACGCCCAGCCAGACGGGCCAGTTCCCCGGGTGGAAAAAGGACTTGACGTAGTCGGCGAGGGCCTCCTGCTCCTTGCGGTCGCGCGGCATCGCCATGCGACCGCCGCGCTCCAGGCACTTCCCGGACGCTCCGGCGTAGTCCTCGTGGCTATTGTACACGAGATAGCATTTGTATCCCATCCGGTGTCCCTTCTGGCAACCTGACAAGTAGAGGACAACGAGACAAAAAGACAATCATCCAGTCTTAAAACATGCATCAACAGATGTTTGTTTTTTTTGTCCACTTGAGGGCAACGCAACATTTAGATATTACCACCATACTAAGTTTATGGTGAACAAAGCGCCCCCTGTTGCTTATTTTTCACAGCAGACGCAGAGCTAAATTAGCTTTAACTTGGAGTTGTATGAAAGTAACTCTGTTACCTTCCAGTCGTCCCATCTCCTTGCGGTTGGCCTTGCTGTGCTGGTAGACCCCCCGGATGCTGTCCTCCAGCTCCTCAACTTTAGCTGCCATGTAGGTGACGGGGAATAACAAAAAACAAGGAGACATGATGAAAGTTAGTCCAGGGCATCGTCCTCTTGACTTCCTTTTTTAAAGTAAAAAAATCTATAATGGCAAATTAAACTCTCGAGCCAATTGCAGCGCCACAGCTCATTATGGGGGATTAAATGGTAATGATGGTCTATGGAGGACGTCCAAATATAGTTAATCTCATTCACTTTCTTTCATTCTCATTCGGCGTCGTTTTCATTCATCTTGCTTCTTTCATCCTGTGCAATATCAATCCCTTATACTTTTTTAGCAGAGGGGGGCGCCACATGTATCCTATCCATTTCTCCATTTTACAATGAACATGACTTACTTAAGGAGAAATGCCAGAAATAGGGATAAAACAAT